CTCGTGTACTTCCATCCCCGCCTCTGCACCTGTCTCTGTGCCTGCCTCCGCACCTGTCTCCATGCACGTTTCTGTGTCTGTCTCCATGCCCGTTTCTGTGTCTGTCTCCATGCCCGTTTCTGTGTCTGTCTCCATGCCTGTTTCTGTGTCTGTCTCCGTGCCTACCTCCATGTCTGTCACCGTGCCTGCTTTAGTCTTCATTCCCCCGCATGCTGCACTAACACCTTGTGACCTCCTTCTTTGTGAGTTCACTGACACAGTTACACTTGGTTGTGGAAAGCATCGACTTTGTCGACATCACTACAACCATATAATTTTTCGGGCCTGCTGTCGGCAGGGATGCCACCTGTATCCGGATTGTGAACATCCTCTGCATCCAGATGCAATATGTCCCATCTGTGCCTACGGGTGCTATAGCGAATGTGCACTTAACTGTGATGGTGAACGCCCCACAATGGTCATGGCCTGCAACCGGCATGCCCTCTGCYGTGCATGCTTCAGAGGTATGGTCGATGCTAGCCGTCCTGGTTCCTGCTGTGAGGAAGTTGCTTACCTGAATGGTTTTCGTCCTACAGATCAGCGGGAGGGCTGCTACCATCGCCCGCATCCTTATGATAGTTGTCCTATCTGCCGTGAGGGTCTTACTTAGACGTACCTTGCACCTTGACAAAAATGTGCAGGTGCGCTGAAAAGAGTGTACAAGAATGTGCAAAGGTGGGAAACCCTTCACTAAAACTGCAAAACAGTGAAGACTGCAGTAAAAGAAGAACATAAGTTTGTGTCGTTTTACTTTGTTTGTACCCTGCACCCTAACACCCTCAAAGAAAAAGTCCGAAGGGTGAAAACGAGAATAAAAAATGAAGAAGGAAGTGCAGGTGCGCTGAAAAATAAACGTGGTAGACTCTTCATCAAAGCTGCAAAACTGTGAAAGAAAGAAGAATGCAGTAAAAGAAGGAAGATGTTTGTGTCACCCTTATTTATTTTTATTTTTTCTCCCTCTGCCTATCGATTTTCCTTTTCTGCTCCTCTCTCCCTTGTGTTTGACACCTCTTCCTTCACTCTGCCTCTTTCCCATAGGGTGCAAGTGGGCTGTTATGGCATACGGGGATGGGGGCAGCTCGCGCTCAACTTCATCAACGTGGCGAGCCTTGTACGTTAGAGGCACAGTGGAGGAGGCGTTAAGAAGACTGAGAAACTGAATGATTTAAATGTGTCTTTGTTTTTGATTTTTATCCTTTGATTCAGTGTAAATATTTTTTGTAAAACACTGAAAGAAATAATAATACTGTGAAACAAAGTGTCATTCTGGTTTGTCTGTCTCTTTGCCTGTCTGTCCTTTTATTTTTCTTTTCTTTGCTCATCTTATTTCTTCTTCTACTTCACGTGCTCATGCTCTTAGTCAATAGTTCTGTGACAATATATATATACATATACAATATACATTTGATTTATTTATTTATTTTTTAGGGAAAATTGCATCTGTACCCCACTTAAAGATGGGAATACCAGCTATACCCTGTCCCAGCATGAACTTTCGTCTATACCGAGAGGGCGTTGAACTTTGCATGGTACCCAACTTTTCCTCTATGCAAAATTGTAGGTGTACCCTGGATTCAGGGGACGAAATTACACTAATGCCCCCACCAAGTAGAACGTTGTGGCCCAACGGCTGCTGGGTATGAGCATAATTTCAGCCATCCAGGTAGCAGGGCATATGAACAATTTAGCCTCTCCTCCTCAGGTCCCGGGTATGCCCATAATTTTGCCCGGGTATGTGCATAATTTGTGCGTTCCGGTAGTTGGTTATAACCGCAATTTTGCGGTACCAACCTGGGTCCACCTTGGTCCTGGGCATGCAAACCATTTCCACCAGCCGTTTTCTGGGTATAAACGCAAGTTGGCGCTGGGACTGGGTATAGCCGGTATTCCCATCTTTAAGTGGGGTACAGGTGCAATTTTCCCTATTTTTTATTATTTTTACGGCCCCATGGACCACGGATCAGATATTGAATTGAACAGAACAAAAACGACACTTTATCTTTGCTCCGTCATGAGGCAGCATGGTTTATGCTCAGGGGCTTAGGTTTAGGGAAAGGGCTTAGAGTTTTGGGGTTTTGGTTTTCACGGTTTAGCGATTGAGGGTTTAGGGTTTAGGGATTTGCGTTGTGGCCCATAGTGTTATGAACATGATTGTCTGCCGGAATTTTATCAGCACTCACTCACAGGAACTCCCGTACACGCCCATACATGCACAGAAGGAAGGGGAGAGGT